ACCATTCAACAAATATGCAGAAGGAAGTGGAGATAGATTGGGCATACACTGAGAAGACCGACTGGGGACATCACGCGCCAGGCCAGGCCCTCGAGTGGAACCTAGATGGGAAACGACGAGTTGGGCGTCCGTGGCGAGGGTGACATGGAGGAGATGGTGTGAGAACGAAATGAGAGCTTGTGGGCAGTCATGGAGCCAGGTTGCAAAGAATGCAGAGAACAGAGTGGAATGGAGACATGCTACTGAAGCCCTATGTTCCATAAGGAACCCATGGGACAAATAATAATAATTTCATTTTATTATGTACTTTGAAACTTACCGAATGGTGTCATTTTTGTCAATGCGTAATTCAGCTGTTTCACCTTCATAAGCATATTCCCATATCCATGCGTTCTGTTCATAATCACTAAGATTAGGTTAATAACGATTAAGCACCGTTTACTATTTTGAAGGTGAGCGCAGTTTCTCTGCAGGTATAAAGATATCATCAAAAAGTTTAACGATATTCGTAGACCACTTTTTGAGGCAGACTTTACAACACCAATAAGAACTTCATCAATGAATGGACGGAAACACGCAATACGAAAGCTCACTAATCAATAAAGAAATGAAGTAGAAAAAACCTGTTACCTGTAGTGTAATAGGCACCATCGACATCTGATATGAAACTTTCTTCAATTTTTAAGACATCCCACAATGAAACACATAAACCAACTTTATATATGACCTAGAGTTAAAGATTTATACAAAAACAAACTTTTAAAGAATTGGTCACTTCGAAAAGAACAAAATTTGTCACAACCCAAAACGAATTTACCTCTACACTTTATTCTACGCCGTTTATCTGTCCCAGTAATAAGTGATGTGGAACATTACTGCCAACCACATATTCACATCAGTTATGGCTCACACGTCAACCTGCAGTATATCACTAATTTTGTCTCCTCAGCTCCCTTTCATACTTAACAACCTCTCACGTATGCTGATTGTTTTACTTTGCCCACTGCGAGACATGGCAACTTGCGCTGATACGAACTGTGTACAGGATTTTAAACTTGCCAGTATCTATTTATCTACATAGGGTAGTAATTGGCACAAAATGTGGAAAAGCTGCAGAAAAATGACTTAAATCTTCACGAGCTGCATAAGATATGCTTAATATTTTTAGAAACTGCTAATCTAGGAAGATTAAAATTACTAGTGTGAATCAGCATCTAAGTGACTCCCAATTAAAACGAAAGAAACGGGTTGGAATCTAAAGTTAGCTACGATTTAAGTACTACCAAACTGCAACCAATAGTAATACCATATTGAGTTGATATAGGTTTAGATAACAACAGTAGAGCACATCAACCAATAATAAAAATCCAATACCAGAAAATGAGTACATCCAAGTTTCAGAACTAATATAGTGAGGTAAACGTGTAATAAATAAAAAGTTAACACACAACGTAACCATTGCTTAACAATTATTAGCATCCGGAAAATTCTTGGTCATAAGTTATAGCACAAGTTCAGTATCAAGAGTATTGCAAACGCCCAGTTAAAAGTAATGTGGACACCAGTATATTAAGTAGTCGGTCAAAAGACCAGAAATTAAATATTCAGCACTTAACAAACACACTACACTCATTTAAACAGTATGAATATAACAAGTGACATTCATGCATACACATTTTACTTCACTTACACAACAGCAAGTAAAAGTAGAAAGATAAGTGTAAAACATATCTTCAGAAGCCATAGGAAACCATGAAGTAAAACAAAAAACAGTATAAACCAAAAAATAGAGATGTCATTTCACGATTGAAATGAAGACCAGTGATGAATCCATACGCACCACCGCGATAGATTTTAAGTCACATCAGTTGGCAGATAGTTAAACGAGGAAAACCAGCGCAGACCTTCCCACACAAGTGGACTGGTTCAAGCAACCACACTTCACAGCACCATTTAAAGAACAAGTCTAGAGAAAGACAGCAATGTCAAAGTACACAAAACTGTGTGGAAGGAGAAATAATTCCAAGGTTAAGATTCGTGTAGACATTCAGTCTGTAGAAGACTTCAAACAGTGAACACATCCACGCCATTTTAACCAAGATTCTCCAAATACTGATTCCTATTATTTCGAGCGCCCTAAACAAGTAGTTCATCCCTCCATACACAGCCCAGACCAACAGCCACAGACCTGATTGCTCGCCTTGGTCTGACCTCAATGAGCTTTCTTTCAACCCATTTCCCCCCCAGGTAATATTGCACGACAAGGCAAGTAGTGGCTCAGCATGGGCAACACACGTCAAAACCACATCAGTCAGTCAAGGTTCACTAACTCACCAACTAGCCTATCTGTCTTGCACTGCATGCTTCGCCTAACATCGACATTACTCATACACCAGAAATGCTGCGAAGATACCTGTGGTCAAAAACCTGTAATCTCTTCCCATTATTTACTTTCAAAGGTCACGTCTCACGGTCGTGTAACAGGACAGAATGAACAACAGCTCAGTACACTCGTCCCTTAACAGGTGGTCGGATATTCCGACAGTCGGTCCCAGAGATGAGGCAATTTCGCAAACGACTAACGGACCTTCAGTATCCGAGATGAGATTTCGTCAGCAACTAGCTAGTCCGGGCTAATGCAACTTCCCGAAGTAATTGAGGTGGTCTGTGCATTTTACCACTCTACTCTCTATTCTCGAAGTGGGAGTAGCAGCAAACCAGTACTGTAGCATCATCTTACATTTGACAGGTGAGAAAATGCATTTCAAACACACTCAGATGTCTGCTCAACGCGTTCAGAAGACCCTGCATTTTGTCAGCGTCTTCATCCACCAGGACAATATCGTCTGCATACTCCAAGTCAACTAGGCGCCCGCCACAGAGTAGTCCGTGTGAATTAGGAGGTACTTATACTAATCCCACCCCATCAAGACTCTAACTATCAATTCCAGTTGTTACACAGACCCAAAACTGGGGGTCTATACCTTCCTATATGTCTCGGACAGACAAAAACCTTCATGCACTGATGACGCGTTTTAGTTTCATCGCCCTTAGGTGTATCCCAACCCAACTCCACTTCAGCTAACACAGCCTGTTGGGGTAGATGGTGATAAAGTGGGCATAAAACACAACCTTGCGCAAGACCTCAGCAGGTAAAGCTTTACAACCTTCCAAACTGATGTTTTCACCCGCAGCTTTATTCGAAACTAGTACGTTGCTCATACAATGATTTCCCTATATCTGGGCGATATTACAAGAATAACGGTCGGGCATCTCCAGCCTCTTAATGACCTACATTTTCCATCAGTTTTACAGTCACGTATTAGTAAAATAAGAGCAGCTGATTAAGGCACCCAACTCTTGGTAGGTAGTCGGATGTGTTTCCTGAATACATCAGTAGAACATGGGCACCGTGGTAGTGTAATCCAACTTGCTGACTTATTTAGCGCACCACTGCGATATATCATGTATAGAAACTGGTGTGAAATTAATAAATTTCAACTCAGAGTCGCCTCCTTTCGATATGTGAGCAGCCGAAATGTACGGCTACTAATCACGTGGCTGTTTGAGTTTCACAGCCACTTATAGGTGACAGTTTGACATATTTTCCGGTAACTCCAAGAGTGATTGGTTAGGTCATTACATGTTTCAACTACCAACTCCAAAACTAGATTCTAAGTCATCACCGAAGGACTGATAATTAAGTACATGAGCTGTTGAGGTACACGTGTATATTCCCAAATCAGGTTAACAGTGAGAATAGGAAACCACGTCACAACACCTCTACCGAATGGCTACATATTCCTTCCGTAATTCCACTTAATTAAACACATAGGAACCCTACATATAGAAACATACGAGCAGAAGAATCGCTGGGGCAATAAGTGCATCAACTGAAGCACCACTCTAGATAGATAAAAAGCACTACAATAGTTCCTGCTGAAAATCAGTTTGCTTTAAAAGATATCACGAATACGTGTCAAAGTGAAGAATGAGCTAATGTGAAAATCAAACATAAACGATTTGTTTACATAATCATCTGCAATTAACACAAAGTAAACATCGACCGCTACACACTTTGCCACAGAAGCGAGCATTGAGCTCTTGTTCTATGACTTCTTTCATATCTGACCCAAAGTAGTTAGGTTTGATAACAACAGTATCCTTTAACGAAACCAGCACAAACATCGCATTGATTTGTAACGTCCACTTTTAAGTTGCCATCTTCAATACTTCCAATATCCAATATTCCAATATTGATAGTGCGAGCGTAGAAAACTGGTAGTTTTTGATCTCTCGCGTCAATATCTTTTTACGAGCTAGTATAAACTAATTGATTTCTTCGCGCTCCTTCTAGGTCTTGGGGAACGGTTCCAGGTCTTAGGCGGATTCCGATGAAGTAGGTCTACCTACTCGACTGCTGTATCTCTAGTTAGCCCGTTGGGCGGTTGAGTGTTGCTTAAATTTGTAGGGTGCATATGTTGTTTTTCCAAGGACTGTGGTGCAGATGGGTTCCTCAAGTGTCGTTCCAGCAGACAACTTGTCGGACCGGATGTAAAAAGGAGCTGGAGAACATGTTCAAGAAATCAAGAGAAAGTGCGAAGAAAAATGAAAAATGGAAAAAAGAGATGGGAAAAGGAAACGGTACTGAAGAAGAAACATCGGCAGATTCATGGGAGAGGAGTGATAGGCAGAGCTTTCATTAAAGTGTGAGGACGTAAAACCGGCAGGAAGAGAAAGAGAAAGTAACATTATAAGACAGCTTTTGGGAATGGAGATAGTAATTCTATTAGTAGGAGATGGTGACTGTAGGGGACGCGGACTTTTCAAAAAGGACAGTGGGTTTGACAAATTTTGATTAGTTTGTTATATTTACTGTGTTGAGGTTCATAACTCCTTGAACAAACATTTTTCTACCCTTTATACAGTCTAATGACAGTTTCAAAGGATGTCTGCGTAGTTTGTCGCAAAAATGTCAGCTTCTCAGCTAAGGCGATGGGTTGTGAGCTTTGCTCTTGGTGGACTCACTGCTCCTGTGATTCCAGCCAGCCATCTGGTCATTATGAGGCACTGCTCAATAGCCCTTTTGATGGTGATTGATATTTTTGTCCATGTTGTAGGTCCAAAAGTAAGTACCAAATAGGCCTAGAGCTAGTGAGACAGAACTCCGACCACCTTACGGCTGAGATCTCTAAACAAACCAGCCTCAATCTAAAGAAGTCTCATGGCCATAAAAAGATCCCCAAGTTAGCAGTAATGGAAGTAGCGAATTCATCACTGTCACGGACTGTCTCCCGTTAGCATGCCTTTGGAACCGATCCCCTCAGTGATGAATGGGAATCTCACACCTGATAAGCGCCGAAAGAAAGGTCTGAAGAAATGTAGGCAGGTCAGTTCAGTTAAAAACGGAACATTAAGTAACGATCGTAAGTCTGACAGAGTAACGACTACTCAGCCTAATGAGAAGCCTAACCATAAGCTGAACATTGCCCCTCCTACTCAGGCGAAAAACGTTCCGAAAAAAGCAGATCTTGCTCCCACCACCTGTAACTCAGGGCGGAAGCCACCTGCATTTCACCACCAGCCTCTTTCAATCATCAAGAAAACTCCCACAGCTGGCATCTCAGGTCTTCCGAGTCACCCCTAAAAGGCTCATCGAAATCTGAGTCTGTATTCACAAGTTGGAATAAGCTCCAAAAGACAGACCATAACCTCAATCTTAGATCATTCATGCTCTTCAGCGTTCAGGAAAGTGGCTCCTCCCTATTGACTGATCGTGAAGAACATGACCTTGACCAATGGAAGAGTGTTTGCAAACTCCTAGGAACCTCTCCCGCAGTCCATCTCTTCAACGCCTAGCGCGTAGTAAGTTCTCCCCCAAGGGCTCTCCTAGACCTTTAAGAGTATCTCTTGATAGTACGCGTCAGTCCGAACACATCCTTCTGAAGGGTCATCAGTTGGTGAAACGTAAACTGTCTGACGCCAGGATTGGGCCTGAGAGACCCTGGTCAGTGCGAGAACTTCTTCGCAACAGCAAGAAGATTCACTCTCAAGAGTTATGCTGCTCGGTAATTGTACACGGGATTCCCAAATGTTCGGGTACCGATACTGCCGAACTTATCCACGACATAAATCAGTGGAGATATATTGTCAGCAAACTCCAAATCGATGTGAGGGCGAAAGTATTAATCGTCCCCCAAGGCCGGCTCACCTCTCGACTATACGTACTCCCAGGCTACTCCAAGTAACCCTTGACTCTCCGGAAATGGTTAGAACTACCTTGGAATCCTGGTATAATGTATCTGATACATTCCCTAGAGAAATAAAGATAAGCGAGCGCAGACCCAGGAAACAAAGGCAGACTGAGAGGTGATTCAAGCGCTTGCCGTTGGCCAACGCACACCTAACGGTAGAACGGCTGGACGATGAGCAAGAGTATTTATCGACCTTGTCCCAGATCGAAGAACCCGGCACCAGTTCTCAGTCAAAGGGATCAGTGGATATAGTAGCCCTTGGTTCCACCGCCCTATCAAAAAACTTGTCAAAGCCGGCCATTTAAAGGCTGGCAACTCATGCTTAACTCAACCGGTTGTTGGGACCTCCGGCCCTCATACTCTTATTCACTGTACCTTCAGCAATGTACGAGGCCTACGCTCCAAGGTACCTGAGTTAAGGTTATAAGTGGATGAGGAAAGTCCTAGCATAATGGCTTTCTGTGAAACATGGCTATCAGAAAACATAAAAACGAGGAAGTTCGTTTAGGACAGCTCAGCCTAATCCAAGAGGATAGACCGGAGGGTCCAGGAGGTGGCATTGCTCTTTACACCTGCCCTTCCTTAAAAGTCCATGAGATTCAATCTCATAGAATTGGCATTAAGATGTCCTCTGGTGTAGCATTAAGTGCTACGGAGGTCCATGTTTAATTGGAGTTTTATACCGCCCTCCTGCAGCTGATGCCACGCTAAATAAAATGTTAATACAGTCCATTAGAGGAGCCCTGGAACTGAATTTCCCTCAGGTCCTCATTATGGGAGATTTTAACTTTCCTTAACTCTTTACCACAGAAAGTCCATTTCTGCTCTAAAAGACTTTCGGGAATTGTTACTGGAAAACTCCTTGACAGAACATGTTTCCCAGTGTACTCGCTGGGGGCCTGGCGGTAAGGCATCCCGACTAGATTATATTTTCACAAATCAATTCGTTGGGGTAAGCAACTTGAATGTTTTCAGCCCTCTTGGCCTAAGTGACCATGCAGTTATCTCCTTCAGTATTTCTGTATCTAAGCCACCCGTTCCCGATCAGCCTCTAGTTAGGAATTACAAGAGAACTGATTTCGAGAAGGTTCGGCAAGATCCAGAAGGTTCCGCTTGCTTAAATTGTGATGACCTACTGGATTTTGATGCTGGACGGGGTCTGTTGAAGAATATAATCCTACAGACGACAGAAGACAACACTCCTTTGATCCCAAGGAGAACTAACGAGTTCTACTCCTCCTGGCTTAAGTCTAGCACGCGCGAACTAATACGGCGTAAACGGTCGTCTTGGAATCTATGGAGGTGCACTAATAGCCCTTTTGACTGGCTAAATTATAAAAACATCCGTAACAAATGCTCGGTGAGGATCAGAAATGACAGAATAAACCACCAGACACAACTTTGTAGAACCCTGGAGGGGAATCATGGGATACTGTACTCGTTGATGAAACAGAAGGGTTACAGTCCACCAGGTTTACAGACCACATTAGTTTGGAGATTCTCTATTCCAACTCCGAAGTAGCGAACCTACTAGCTCATGAGTTCCAAAACAACTGTCATTTGGGAGACGAAGCCACGCCTCTGTTGGATGCCCGTATCACAGAGGGACTAAATCATATAGAGTTTAAACCCTCTGTAGTCATGGAAATATTGAAGAAACTGAACCCGAATAAGTCTCCAGGAATCGATGGTATTCACCCAAGAGCACTCAAGGAGTGTGCTGAAGTTCCGTGTGCCCCACTAGCAAACCTCTTCAAATGCTTGTCTCTGATTGAAAACGGGCGGCTGTCGTCCCAATTTATACCGATGGAAACAAACTACTTGCCTCTAACTACGGACCAATCTCCATGATCTCTTCAGTTGCGAAGTTCATGGAGAGAGTCATAAATGACTCATTTCGTGATCACTTACCTCAGAAATCAATCCTAAACGACCGTCAACATGGCTTTCTATCAGGAAGGTCATGTGACACCAACTTGTTGATAGCTTGGAATAACTGGACACTCTCTGTAGAGAAGAAAAAGCCTATACACATTGGTTTACTTGACTTTTCTAGGGCCTTTGACAGGGTAAATCATGATATCCTTTGTAAGAAACTCCAGCTCATGGGTGTGCACGGAAAATTATTGATCTGGCCTAGAGATTATCTGTTCACCAGGGTGCAGTCAGTTTGAGTCGGCTCCTCTCTATCTGACTGGTTCCCGATGCTGAGTGGTGTGCCTCAAGGTTCCATACTGGACCCACCGCTGTTTCTTGCTTTTATCAATGACCTACCAGGGGTCCTTAATTCACATTCACTATTATATGCCGATTATCTGAAGATCTGGAGGGAAATACAGGAACTAACGGATATTTCGATCCCCTAGGAGGACCTTACGAAAATCCTTAATTGGTCCTGGCATTCAGGACCTCGACTTTCGTCGGAGGGCTTGTGTTCATTGGTAGTTTTGTGGTTGGCTGCAGGTGGTATTTCGGTGATGGTAGGCGGCAACCTTGTCTTGCTACTGCCTTCACTTCAATGGCGTCACCAAGCTTTCTACTGAGGATCATTTAATAATATATATATATATATATATATATATATCATACAGAATGGGTTACATGAATACAAATCAGTCTACAGGTTTGATCATTTTGGTAACGAGAAGTGGCTACTATGTTCAGTGTTAAGCTATGCATTAGGTACCGCTATTCATGGCATATAGGAGGTGTGTTCAACCAGGCTGAGTTCGAAATTAGGAATTGTTTGGTTATTGTTTGAACCCTCCAATATTCTTGAGGGTGGGCCGCACCACAGTCATGACCTTGGAGTATGTGCATTCGTAGCAAGGTTTTGATGGCGAGGTGCGCACTGACAAATGCAATTTTTAGGATTCCATTTGAATAGCAGGACTGGCTAGGAAAACCTGAAAGGTGAGTACAAAAGCAACCAGCAGGCGAGATTCGAGACAGGAGCACAAAAATACGC